TGTTCTCCTCTGAACCAGGTACCTCCTGTGGTGCAGCAGAGGCAGCTTCCGGGAGATGGAATTAAAACCTGCTCTGTTTCGTCTGGGGCGAATGAGTCTGTTCTCTCGCACCGACTCAGCCTCACACTTTACAGCATCACTGGTGCAAGGAGAGGAAGGCAGATGAGCTGTTATGAACAACTGTGTTTTCACCTTGCTTATTTTCTAACCCATCTTCTACGCACAGCGAGTCAACAGGAAGGTGTCAACTTACATGGGCATCTCATTGTCTGGTATTTGCTTTGCTTTCTTCTGTCCTTTCTCATTCACTGATGCCTTTCAACTAGCTACCAGTTTAATTTGGACCATAAAGGCTGCAATAATTCAGAGTGAAAATACACGGATCTGAGCCATCGTCGGAGTGTTACAGAGGCTGATACAGGAACATGTAACTTAATTTATTGTTTTCCACCTTCTCTGTTAATGGAATCTAGCTCTAAATTGTTGCATGCAAGTCCATGTTCATCTCGGCTCAAAGTAAATTACCTGCAGAAAAAATGTCATATTTCTCCCGCTCCGACATCGAATCATTCCGTGACCTTGACAAGCAAACACTCAATGCATCCCTTTTCCAGTCTGTACAGTAACAACGTGCCTTGTACAGCTCCATCGCACTCACAGCCGCTTTATCACGGGACTGCTGATAGTCACTGCCATGGTATATGGAACACAGGCACACTCGCTCTGTGTGCGCGTGAAGGGCTTGATAAGAAGCGGGACACATGGCAGGAAAGAAGCCCGAAGCATATCCATACGTACATGAAAGCGTCATTGTTGGCTTTTAAATGGTGAAAACGGACATCTTCTCGGCTCTCAGAAGCCAACCAGAGTGGCTTGTGTTTGTCTCAAGTAATGTTAACCTTGGAGGCAGAGAAGTTCATATGAAATCCTATACTTGGAAGTCCGCATGTGCAAAACATGCCCAATAATGTCACGGGTCAGAGTGCCAGCAAGAGGGAACGTTCGCAGGGAATGGCCAGGGCCACCCCTCTGTCCTGTTCCCGGGATGGAAGGACTGCCCTGTTCTTGGTGGGCTCTTCTGAGGAGCTTTTGTGCAACCCAGTTTCTGTCAAAGCATAACTCCAAGGTCTCGGCTTTCCTGCCGTTGACACGTTTCACCATTGACTTGCTGCACTGGACAGCTTGTGTGGCTCAGTTGTCGTGCTGTGAAAGTGCACTGAAATGCATCGATGACTGTTGCAGCTCAAGCAGACCAAGTCCATGTGCTTGTACATGTGAGGATGGAGCCACTGTGAAGCCTATTTCCGGGTCTCCTGATCTCTTGTTGACTTCCATATGAGAACATGAGCTGGAAGGAGAAAGATTTCTTTGTCTTGGGAAGAAGAAATGCAGAAAGAGGAGAATTTCATGCAGTCATTTCATGAGAGGGCTTAGAAAAGGTGCTGAATTTAAAATCTACATTTTTCAAGCAGCTGATTTTTCAGTGCCAGTGGGGCAATGTACCAGCTTAGGCCATCAACTTGAGCAATATTTTTAGTGATTAAAAGAAGTGAGTGTTGTCGACAGCTCTGCCTGCTACCCTTGCAGCAAGACTGGAATTTGCCAAATGCATGAAAAATAGGGAAGGCTGCCTTTGCTTCCCAAGAAAATTATAAGCAGTTGAAGGGCTAAACCTTTTAAGTAGATGATAAGCGTCTGAAGGAGTTTGAAAGCATCTGATGAAACAGAATTGAAAGAAGAATTGCAGTGGGTAGAAGGTACATTTAGAGGGGTATAATTCTCACAGCCTGGTGCGCCGGGGGTTAATAACCAAACCTGTGTTTTCAGGGCTAGCTTTTAACCAGCCGTGCTTCACTTCATGGATGTGAGACACCCAAAGAGACTTTCCTCCCACCGAAGCAAGACGTGCTCAGAGCAGTCCTCCCGGAGCTCATCTTCTCCAGTAGAGAGAAACCAGTACCTTTAGACCTTGGTCCACCTGCTTTAGATGTGTTCCTCAGGATAGGATAAGCCTTTGCCTTCACCCAGTAACTATAATGGCCCCAGGCTTGCTCAGAGGAGACACGTCCGCTGCCGATGCTGCATTCCCGTAGCAGGATCCTGCACTGTGTGCACTAACAAGTCTCCAGAGAGCGGAGCACACCGACAGCCCAGTCCCAAAGCGTATCAGACTGGGCACGCTGGGGCATCTGTCGTGCCGTTCTTAGTTGCCCCACGCTTCTAAGTGGGCAGATTGGGTTCAGAGCCAGACACAGCCCGGCTGTTGCAGCGCTGTCTGGGCGCGCTCCGGACGTGATTAAGATGAAGGGAAGCGCCGGCTGCCTTCAGGCAGGGCTGTGCTGGCTGAAGCATTCGGAATGTCATCTTGCTCTCTCTGGGCTTACATCTCTAGTCTGTAAAGCAAATTTTGCTCGGTTCCTTAGCATATTGAGGTTAAACTTGAGTTAACACATGGATCTTTGTGGTGGTGGCCTTTTTCTTTTGATGATATCAAAGCTCCTCAAGAGACCCTCAGTCCAGCACGCAGCGCTGTGTTTCGGGATGTGCAGTGAATAAAGCCCAGGTTGTGTGCTCAACCACTGGAGATTAAAAAAGGGCTGATGATGCTCACTGTTTGATCACATTCATGAGCGCAAGGGGTTCATGGCACAGGCACCCTTCGTCCTGGCTCTTGCTATTTGAGTGACTTTCTTTATGTCCAAGCCAAGACAGCCTCCCCTTTGTTGTATGCAAGAAAGCATGATTAAAACTATACTTCTGCCTATGCTAGCATTCTCCAGCAAGCATTTTAGGATCTTGCCTGCTGGCTCCTCAAGTGATGGCCACATCCTTAGTATTCCTGAAGGCCAAAAGGACATTTTTACCTTGAGGTTGAGGTGTTGTGTTTTTGGGTTCCTCTGCTGTTGAAAAGCTGAGAAGTGAGACATAATTCATACTTATGCCCTTGAGTTGTGTCTCCAGCTGGATGGGGCTGCCTAGGGGCAGCCCAGAGCACACGGACACGGTGCATTAGTGCTGCTGCTGCCCCTGGGATCACCTGGGACAGCTGTGCTTGGGAGGATTGTGAGGAGGAGGAGGAGGAAGCTTGATCCCCCTGGGAGGGCAGGGCAGGGCGAGAGCAGCTGGAGTTGGCATTCGAGCTCTCTAAGCTATTAAGGTGGCTGGGAGTGGTGAGGACAAGGTGAGGTGCCGGTCAGTGAGGCAGGTAATGCCAAGGCATGCCTTGGCATGCTGGGAAGGACGTGGGGCTCAAAGGGATGCCCCAAGTGATGGGGCTCAGCTGGAAAGACAATGTTCCTCTGTCTGACTTCTCCCATGGGCCAGCACAGCACATGCAAGATGGATCGAGTGGCTGATCCTCAGTGTGTTGTGGTTAGAGTGTGATTGTTCTTTCCCGCCGGATAACTCCCGATCTGCTCATCCTCTGGCTGTGTGAACAGCAGTTGGCACTGAGGAGGGACAAGGATCGTGCGGCTGGGGGTGGAAAGGGTGAAGCTGCTGCCAAAAGGGCAAGTGCCACCCGTGTTTGTTGGGTTAAAGCTACTCCTGAACAGCTGTCTAAAACATCTTCTGTCTTTGCTTTCCTGATCCGAAGGAGAGGAGTCAGTGAGCTCTTCAAAGTGCTTGGTTTTTTTCCAATGAAACTGTGCAATTGTTTTCGTAAAGTGTCAGGCCTTCACACTGATCTACTTTTTTACTTACTCGCATGAAGATCCTGCCTCCACAGGTGGAAGTGCTACATGGCTGGCAGGAGCAGTCTTCAGAGAACCTCTGTGGTCATTTTTTGGGCAAGACTCGAAGTCCTGCTGACTACTGTGTGATTAGGACTTGCACAGAGCCTGGTTCTTTGTGTAGGAGACCTGAAGAGGTGCACCTTAGTTTCTCATGCTGTCTTCTGTAGCATCATCATAAAGCACTGAAGTTTGCTTGTTCAGCAGTAGTCTTCGGTGCACAAGGCTGAGACGGTTGACCTGGCTGCATGCACCGATGTGGGAGTCTGACTTCTTACATCCCAAAGGGGATGTCTGCGCTGCAGTCACTTCTGAAGCTATAGGGTGAGGTTGTTGCCTAGGCATAACTAACGTGTAGCTCAGTGTGATTAAATCACTGAGCTTACGTGCTCTTGACTAGCTGGTACCTAGCTAGTTTTAGGCTTTTGATTGCCGTGTGGGTGAGCTCAAGGTCTGAGGAACCGCTCCTGACTGCTGTGGGTCAATGCCGAGAGGTTGTTTCCTACAGCCTGCAAGGGACTGCTGCCACAAAACGGCAATGTGGCCTTTTGGCTGGGACATGAGTCCTTGAAGACACTCCTTTGGGAGAGCTGGTGGCCGCTGGTAAGTAGCTCATCTGAGTGCCCCTTGTGTAGGACCGGGGTGTTTAATTCCACTCCCTGAATTGGTTAATATTATAATGCATTCCTGCAAAGAAAGCAAAAACTGTAGATTCTTGTAGAGCCTACTTCTATTGTTTTATTTTAATTTTTTGCCAGACTTTAGTGATTTGGTTGGCAAGCTGGAAAGCAATGTATAGTGGCCAGAGAGCTTTCAGCTTCTCCAAAGAGCTGTCCTCGGAAGCACAGAGGGTGACCAGCTCAGGCCACCTGCTTGCCAGCAGAGAAGTGGGCTTGCAGGGGTCTGTGCTCCTGCCTGCCGGTTAGCGGAACGTCTCCCCGGGGTGGAGCTGCCTGCTTTAAGCACAACGCTGCGGATGGTGCATGGAAGGCGCAGGTGCTGCTTCTTGGAAACCTACTTGTATAAACGTCCTGACACTTGTTCTCCGCGGTTAACGACCATTTCATTTTTACAGCCTTTGATTTCAACTGACAATGTGGCTTGCTCGTCCTGGCAGTCAGCCTGAGTAAGGCAGCTGTACCTTCTTTTAATAGGAACTCTGACCTGCGCAAAACGACTCATCATTAATACGTCTCTGTAACGGTTTGTTTATTTCAGCTCCTCTCCATGCTTCTCTGTCTAATGGTTTTTATGCTGTTTTTTGCTTAGCTTATCAAGCAGCAGATTCTCTCCCTCCAGTTTAGGAAGGTAAAACTACGTTGCATTAAACTGCTCTGACCAAGCACTTTGCTGAATCTGACTGCACGTGATTAATCTGTACTGCTTTGGTACTAATTAATTAGTAGAGAGCCCTGCAGTGATCTAACAGCCTCGTTCTGCATGATTGGATCCCTAATACTTGCTTGACCTGCAGACAGTGAAGTGAACGTTCACTGTAATTCCTGTTAAGGTGCAAGAAATATTCGTCTTTCTTAGCCAAAGGATGGGTGTTCAGCTACTTCTTGATATTAAAGCGAGACTTCCATACAGAGACATGAAAAAATTACATGTGCCTGCCCTGAGACTTTCAAAGAAGAAATTTTCTCCTCCCCCTGCCATCCTGTGCTTTGTCGTGAAGTTCTTCATTCGTTCGGACTCTGCCCTGAAATGCACTTGTAGAGCTGTGCTTTGCCTCTGGAAAAAAGAACACATTTGGAAATCATTTGGTGTGACTGGTTTGCTGCGGAAGCAGGTAGAGGAATGACGGTGGAGGGAAAGGCTTCTCCAGAACATCCCTATAGCTGTGGGATTGCTAACCAAAAAGTCAGGAAGATAAAATCATGATGAAGTGGAAAACACTTCTCAAATCTCCTTTTCCTGCAGGCTGCTTTTGTATGGAAATCCCTCTTTAACGTAAAAAGGCTACTGAATTGCCAGTGTCCTCTTCCGGGGGCTTTTCTGCAACAAAGATGCAGCTTCAGGAAGGCCTGGAGGAAGCTGCCACCTTGTATTAGATTTCTCCAACGCTCTGAATTACTGGTTTAGAAAGCAATTTGAGTTGGACGAGTCTGCTTGCAGCTGGAGCGAGACAGCTGAGAGCCCCACAGCGCTGCAGCCTCTGGACCCTCCCCCTGTGACTAATACAATGGTTTCTTTGAAAGATTCAATAGACCTTCCAGGGCTTCCTGCCAAGTGTACGTTGGGCAAGTCTCCTCTGATTCACCCGCTGTGCCTGTGGAGCCCCCGGCTTCTGGTGACGCTGCTTTCCTAAAGCATTCAGTAGCCTTTGCTGTTACTTCACCTTTCCCTGGGATTTGCACTGAACGGGCTTATTCCTGGTGTTGCCTGCTGGTAGCAGTGGCATGGTACTGGGATTAAGCTTGGTCCTGAGTGTCATTATGTGTGTGCGCATCACTTTTTTTTTAAGATGCTGATCTGGTTGCTCTCCTGCTGGGGTAAGAAATGTTCATTGATGCTTGGGAAGTTCCTTATGTGGATCTAAAAGACATTTACTGGTCTAGGGCTGAGGATCTATATTGAAAGGACCATCAAACACCCACCAGTAACTGCCTTGGGATGGGATTGTCTGCCTTGCTCTTTGGAAATAGAAGTTTTTTCTCCTGGGGTTGGAGTATGGAAAGGTTTCTCTCGTTTGAAAGGGCTGTTGGCTCCCACAGCCCTTTCCTGGCACTGTAGTTGTGTGAAGAGTTGCTTGCCAGGACTGGTATCCTGGGAACCATTGATTTCTACAAAAAAAGTCTGACCTGTGGCATGTTTTTTACCCCATTCCACACGTGTGTTTGGATATAGACAGTGCTTATAACCCTCGGTCAGTAGATGTGTCAAGTTTGCAACAGCCCTGGCTTCCCCTGTTCCGGACCCTTACCCAGCACAAAGTGCCTGGGAGCCAGACGAGGCTCCCACTGCGTCCCAGTTGTTTTTTACTCAGGGATTCATCTCCCTGCATCTCTTACAAACCCATTCTAGCAGGAAGCCAGAGTGAAAATCGTAGCACTGCAGCCTCCAGGTAAGTTTTCTGGGTGGATGAAATGGGCAGTTGCTGTGGCTGGAGCTATCCTGGCACCCTCAGCCGTGTGCGCAGTTCAGTCCCTGCTGCAGAGCCTGTCAGTGCACCTGACCTTGCTGGGTTCATGCTAAATGTGGGTTTGTTTGGGTTTTTTTGTGTTTTCTTTTTTTTCCTGAACAAGTCTGCTTCCTCAGCAGGTAGAGCATGAGTAGCAGCAGCACCAGCATCCTGCCTGCAAGCCGGGGGCTGCTTGTGAGGCCGGGGTCCTCCTCATGGAGCCCTCACCACGTGTTATGAGCCCTTCTGCTCGTGGTGGAGCTGTGTCAGGAATGGTTTGGGGGTTTGTTCCACCTCTTGCATGTCTTTAGAAGCTGATCACTTGTTTAAAGAATGTCTTTCCCTGCTGAAAACGATATAAGTAGAGCTGCCAGCTACTGGTTCTCTTGCAATATTTGCTGTTTCTCCTAAGATCCTTACACTTGAGACCTTGGGGTCCTCTCTCCTAGTGTAAATGTGTAGTGTTTCAATTGCAGAGGGGAAAAATGAAAGAAGCAGCTTTTCCCTCCCAAGAGCCCCAGAGCACTATCTGAATGAAGACCCAACTTGGAATTATTTTCCTTTATTTAAGAAAGCCCAGGTCTCCTGGGGCCTCTTGGTGACGCTCCAGCAGGGTCGGCAGTGCTGTATGGATACGCTGATGTAGTGCTACCATTGAATACTGCTTAAATGCCTGGAGAATGTAAGGTCCACTTTTGAGCTTCATAGATTGCACTATTTGGATAGTTCTGGCTGTTTGGGTGTCCCAGCCTGAAGGTCGAGGTCAGTGCCTAAACACACGGAGTAAGTAGCGTGAGTGCCTACCTACAGCAGTGAGAGAGGTAAAACAGGGAATGGGTGTCAGCTTCACACACAGTTCCTGAGCTCAGAAAGCTGCAAGCCAGGCTCAGGGTCTCCTCCAGTTTTTCTTAATTCACAGCTTTCAGTAGAGGGCTGCTGTGTTCAGAAGGCATGTTCAGTTCACACTTGGCCTGAAATCACAATGTGAAGTCTTCACAAATAAAGTCAAATCCCAGTGGACAGAACAACACTTGAAGCACTGACGGTGCAACACCGGGAATGTGAAGCTGACTTTGCTAGGGTCTTGCTTTGAGCCTGCTGGCTCATCAAAGAAATGTTCTGGTGTGATCAAGAACTAAAACGGTTCTCAACATTCATTACCTCGATAGCCATAAGGGCTAAGACAAAGGGAACATCTCCCAGATGACACTTCAAAGTGACAGAGTCATTTTAGGAGTGGAAAAACAGTCAAATACCCTGGCACCGTACTGGACTTGTGAACAATCTAGTGTAGGGATGATGGGAGGGAAGGAGGGCATTTAAAACCAGAACACAGGCTCTGAGATGAGACAGGAAGGGGACCCTTTGATTTTTCTAGTACTTTGATCTCTAAGAAATGCTTCTTGAATCTTCCAGGAGCACCTTCTGCGCAATCATTTCTCAGCTGACGGAGGAAACCCAGCCACTATTTGAAACCACTATCAAATCCCGTTCTGTGTCCGAGGACTCTGATGCTAAATTCACGTGCATAGTGACAGGTAACAGTGTCGTCAGTGAATAAACTGGTCCTGCCTCACTTGCTGGCCATGGGCTAGTTGAACCCTAGAGCAAGCCGTAACAAGGCAACGCATTAACAAGTCTGCTGTTGTGAGACTGCCGAGTAAAGGTGCAGCCATTGCATGATGATTTCAGCTTTAATTTAAGGGGTGGGGGGGAAACTCTTGAGACTGAAAGAGGCAAAGACATAACCTAACATCTCAAACAAGGCAAATTAAAGACCAGAAAACAGAATATGCTGGTTACTGTTTGGCCCAGCTACATTTTATTGTCCTAATCTCTGCTAATCCTGGGCTCCATAACTCAGGAATCTGCAGTTTGAAGACTAAGGCTGTCATACCGGACCCAACTCTGGCTTGCTTTGCTGCCTGTATAAATGGTTAGAGTGCAGCTGCATTTTCCTCAGTGATAAACTTCTGTGTGCATCAACATCTGCAATAAAACCTGATTTCTGCCCAATGAGCTAAAATCTAACCTAAGGCAGGAAGGGGTTAGGCCAATAAGAGGAGAAGGGGCAGCTGGAAAAGAGGGCATTGTGGTGGCGTGGCATGGCAGTGCACTGGTGCAAAGGCAAGAGGCTCCTTTGCTGACGAGCTTTTGTCCTTTAAATTAGAGACTCTAAACCCCCTTTTTTTCCATAGCATGCACTTGTTTACAACTCTGTGATCCTTCCTGATGCTGCACATGTTGTTTATTCCGACAGGTTGCTCAGTGAGAGACATTAAACAACTGCGTAAGTTTTGGAAGGAGGAGGGTATCTCCAGTGAGCCTCTGAGTCAGAGTCACAAGGACCAAGACTTTCCTAAGATTTAGGAAATCTAGTTTGCCGTTAGAAACATGCTATAAATAAGCTGTGCACCAGGACACACAGATTGAGCCCTTCTGAGAGCTGCCAGCTTTGAATTTTTTGGCTTTGCTCACATGGATTCAGTTGTTTTACAGGTCTGGCTTTCTGAACTTGCAGGAGTACAACTGATATGTTGATTTGATTGATGCTTAACTTCAGCAGACCACTTCCTGCTTCGAAGGCAAAAGTGGGCTGCTAGAGAGATACCTCCAAGCCCTGCCCCTCAGTGATTCATTAGAAGAGCTTTCCCAATTAAAGTTTTCTGAAAGCAAAAGCTTGGTATATTGTGCAGTAGCGTGGAATTCACCATTCTGCAAGCCGTGAGTGTCAGAAGTCAAAAACTCAGTGATGTTTAGATCTGATAGGAAATCCTGAGTAAAAGCAGATACAATTCTCTCTTCCACCTCCTCTTGCTGGAAAGTGTAGGAGTGCTGCAGACCCAAAGCATGACTGCTTACTGCAAGGACATGGGGTGGCACTGCTCTCCTTTTCAGGATTTCTTGTCCCTTTTAAAGCGTCTAGTCCTGGTTTCTCTCACTGGCTTAAGTTTTCACCAACTGCAACTTGAAGCTGACAGTTCCCTCTACCAAACTTCATGGCCTACAAAGTCCAAATGATAACATCAGCTTCAAGTGGGCTTTGTCAAGATGAGAGGTGTGTTTGTGCAGCTGAGCTCTCGTTCACCATTAGACTGGATAGATGACAGGCTGGGAGGTACCCGGCACGTGTGATGCCAACATGCTCAGTTTCGTCTCCAGAGGAGAGAGGAGAGATTATTTAGTGAGCTCCACCAAGAGAGCCTGGTAAATGCCATGTCCATGTCCTTTCCAGCACCTCTCCTGGAAAAGCTAGAGAAACTCTTCACTGTATATTGTGCAGCAGACATGCTGCTAGGGAATAACCTCCTCTGCTTGTACCAAAATCAAAGTATCAATGTCTAAAGACAGATACGTTCTCTGTTGGGTTTGTAGCCCTTCCTGCAGTCCACCCTTACTCTTGGTAGGCAGGACGCTGCCTTCCAGTTTTGGATGACCTGCTGGTGCTGTGTAGCACAACCTGGTGTATTATCAAGTTGAAAACTTGACCTGATACTGGTCTTATTTTCTCCTCAAGTGAAGGAAAGTGTCAAATGAGCATTTTCAGTGTGTAACCTATCGCAGTATTTTTGTACCTGGTAAACTAGACTGGGGGATGTCTTTATGTACTTGAATTAATGACCTACAAAATTAGTAATTTTCATGGAAACGTCCTTAAAAGCAGCCTGGACCACCTATGCCATATAGTCATCTCTTCCTTGTGGTCCTGTGGATCTCTTTAGGAGAGAGGAGCATGAGGTGGAAAGCAAACTGACTGCAAAGTCTGATCGGTAGTTCAGATATCTCCCCCTGCCATGCTGTTTACATTCAGCTGGGAGATATTATGGGGGGAAAGGAAGTGGTGGTTGCATCCCTGGCCAGTGACCAAAGCAGAACCTGCTCAGTCCCACTGCTGTGGCTGGAGTCCAGGGACACTTTGGTTCGTAGACTTGCAGGAGGTAAAGGGAGGACTGTCAGCTGCTCCTGTTTTGACTCTCAAGCCCCAAATATGGATACGTGACCTACAATAACATCTTAATTTTTTTTTTGCTGCTTCTTGACCCATAACAAGAGTTACAGGGTTAGTCTCGTATCTGTGAATACCAGCGACTTACTGGGCATGTCCTAGGAAGGCATTGAGATGCAAGTGTTTGAAGAGCCAGTCTCCAAAATGTGCTGGGTGGTGCAGGAAAGAAAAACACAAGTCAGGCAGAGGCAGACTTCCTGATGCTCTCGAGTGGTTGCACAAACCCTCCTTTCCTCCAGTTGCTTAGTTCTGCCTGCTGTCAGTCCCTAGTATGTCTGATTTGATTGTTTTGGGTCAAATCCTGCATCGGTTATGACATGTTTTCTTTTTTAGATAAAATTAGTTTATCCTTTGTTCTGAGATGTGAAAAAGGGAACAAGGAAATTTCCATTTACTCTGCAGTTTCTTACGGAGCAGAGCGCACTGTGCTTGTCTGCACCAAGTGTTTTCCTTGGTGGGTCCTTCTGGACTTCAGGATCTCAGGGGTCATCACAGATCCTTCCCAGAAAGTGGCCTTTACTGGAGGTGCTGCTACAATGGTTTTACAACTTTTCAGTGATTTGTGAATAGTGTTGGCTGGGAAGGAGAGACGTCGGCCGTTGAAATGTGGGGGTTTGGATGAAGAGGCTGGGTCTGTGACTGCTTGTTAGGGAATGTGGCCAACTGGGAGGGGTGATGACTGGATCTAGCCAAGACCATTGTATGTCACTACCAGGTATTGCCTGCTGTTGTACAGCTGCCTCTTCAGCACTATTTTGGGCCTCCTTAGGCAGGTTCAACCCCTCTGGCCTGGCTACCCAAATCATCACCTCAGTACCTCGGTCCCATCACTCCCTTCATGGGTCAGTGCTTGTGCTGAAGAAGTGTCCAGCCTGGTACCTCTCCCATGCTACACATGTGCTTGATCAACGTAGGCATCTGCGCTGTGTTGAGTAGTGTGTCCCCAGAGGGCATGGGAACAAAGCAACGTGCCCAGAAACAGTCTGGTTTTATTGTGGGGCTACGGAGGGGAAAAAAGCTATGGTCATGGCCTGGGGAAGAGAGTTTGGGTAAAGTGAGTCAACAGTCGCGCGCTTAGTGGATGAGGATTTTAATAAGCATAAAGGAGTTCAACTTGTTGCATCCATGATGGCCCTGTTAGGGAGATGTCTGAAGGATGAGAGTGAAATGCTGGGATGAAGGATGTCTGAAGAAATGCAGGGGCTGGCAGAGGGGTGGAGGGGTGGACTTGGGGACGGGGTGGTGAGTACAAGAGCAGAGTGTAGGCTGGTGGGAGACGAGAATGCCTGGGTCTAGGGCAGCCAGGGCAAAAGATGGATGGAGAAGGAGCACCACTCACAGGCTGTTGGCATGGGGAACTGCTGCTCTTAGTGACTATCTGTTCCTCCTGTCAGCATTGTGGAAAACCTCCTTGTGTCCAGGTGATGGGGAGGTTTAAATCCACAAAGTCAGAAAGGGTGAGCTCTTACCATGACTTTTCCTCTCAAAACTGCCTGAAGCCCCCCACTCCACACAGCTTGTGTAGAGCAGAAACAGAAAACTGTGGAGATCATGTGTAATTGTTCTAAACTCTTTCCACATTCCCAAGTTTCAGAAAAATAACTCACCATTACCACAAAAAAATCTAAAAAAAAGAGAAAGTTGCTTTAAAAAGAGTTTCTCTGGGTGATTCTGGATAGCTATTGCAAGAACTGGTTTGGATAAGGTCACCAAAGCTTTGAAGACTTCTCGGGCTTCAACAGCTTTGGGAAAAAAAAAAAATCCTTGCTCAGAAAAGTCTCCTGCGTCCTTGAGTGGCTGGCCATCATGCTAGAGCTGTGCTGCTGGAAGACACGCTTCCCAAAAAATTCCTGCTAGGTTCGAAGATGTGCAGCGGACATCCCGGGAACGCCCGGCACCACTCTGTCTGCAACTGCGGGGCACTCGCTGGTGGCCGCAGAGGACCAGCTGCCGGCAAATCCCTCTTGGCACCAGCTGCACGGGGGGTCTGCGGGAGTGACAGGTTTCGGAAGGGCGAGTGCCTGATTTATGAATGGCTGCGCTGCCTTGGAACGCGCGTATGCTAAGGGTGGACATCCAGTGCCCTGCAGCCCATGGAGCCTTTGGCTCAGCCACCCTGTCCCACCTTGAAACTGGCCCGTCATGGTGGCTGGGCAAGCTGTGGATGTTGTGGCTGCAGGGGATGTGCCGGGAGTGATGCCTGGCCCCCCACCCCCCCTCGGACCAGGGGAATTTATTCGCTCAGCAGCCTGAAAATGGATGCCTGCAGTGTCAGCAGCAGCTCCCCTCCCCAGCGGACTGCCTTGTCCCTGCCCAGCCATCTCTCCATCCCCTGCCTGGCTCCGGTTACAGCCCCTGGGGAGGGATGGCTGGTGTTCCAACAGGCAGCTGGGGCCACAGTTACTGCGTGGGAGGTGGGAAACTTTTCAGCATCCCTCTGCCTGCAGAATTCCAGCCAGCGCTTTCCTGTAGCTCCCTTTTGCTGCAGACTGGAGTGTGCAGCCGGGGCTAGTCCCTCCTTGCCTGCG